TAGGGTTCAAACCCCGGACCAGCAGCTCCACCCTTGGAGACTTTGCCAGCTGCTCTAGGCACTCTTCCCATCCACAAGCCAACTTTGTTGTATCCTAAGTTCATAACCTTCCCTAAATTTTCTTATCACAGAATCATACATACAAAATTATTTTTATAAAATATATGGCGCTTATACAATTATACTATTAATATAGATATGTCACCATGTTTTAGTGAAACTATATGCACTACATGTATATTTATTTTAGGTTAGTTTATTATATATTTATACTAATCGAAGTGGATCACTTAGAAACATATATAGGCGTAACTTTTTTTGGTGACTTAAACATTTCATATTAGCATATATTGATAATTAATTAAGATGTAAATTTAAGAAGATATTTTGGTTAATTTCTAATAATGACATAAGTGGTAATTTAGATAGTAATTTAATGGTTACTTAGATTATCCATCATAATATCTTGATATGGTGGGAATTTTAGATGCAAAATTTAGGGTTTACTTTAGAGATGTTGTATGATAGCATAGGTGTGTAATTTATATTATATGCACATTTGATGGTTACTTTATGTGGGTTCTTTTCACAATGATATGCGTGGATATTGTTTAGAAAACAAAATTATAACTAGCTATTATTATCAATGCTGATTAACGTCTACCAAATTGATGGTTAGGTCTATCTGTTTTGTTGTTAGAATATTAAGGTTTTCTTAGAGTTTCTCATGGGAATTAATGTGAATGTCCCATTTTACAACTTGTAATTGTAAGATTGTATTGCAGGATATTATCTCTGCTGGGAGTGAAACAACATCAACCGTTCTAGTATGGGCAATGTCAGAGCTTGTTAAGAATCCACAACTCATGCATAAGGCCCAGTCCGAGGTGAGGACACCTTCAAAGGACAAGACAAGAGAACTAAAGGTGATTTGGTCAAGTTAAGATATGTACAGCTGGTGATCAAGGAGACTTTACGGCTACATGCGCCAGTACCACTCTTGCCTCGAGAATGTCGTGAGTCATGTCAGGTTATGGGTTACGATGTGCCAAAGGGAACCAAGATATCTGTGAATGCTTGGGCAATAGCAAGGGACAGGAGATTGTGGCGTGATGGAGAGGAATTCGGACCAGAAAGATTCGAAGGTAGTATTATCGATTTCAGGGGTAATGACTTTGACTTCACACCATTCGGGGCAGGCAGGAGAATATGCCCTGGCATAACGCTCGGACTGGCCAACCTAGAGCTGGCGCTTGCTAGCCTTCTTTACCATTTTGATTGGGATCTGCCCAATGGTGTCAAGTTGGAATTAGAACTTGATATGGCAGAGGCCTTTGGGATAACGTTAAGAAAGAAATCCATGCTTTGGCTCAAGGCCAAACCTTACAATAATTTTATACCGAATTAATCAGGTGATTTGTTGTGTGAACTAGCTATGTCCCTGTTGCTACTTAATTTGTACCTAGAGAGATTGTTATTATAATTGTCCTATACTTTTGTTATATTGTTTCATCACTCTCTGTATTAAGTGCAGCTATCTGTTTTTTTTTTTTTACTTTTCGCAAAATGATTAAACGATTATCTAATGTGAGTACAAGAATGAAATGAGATTGGTCTATGTCTCATCAGGTTGTATACTACTATTAATTTTCCTCTACTTAATAGGAGTATGCTATAATTTTGTTTGGAGAAATTGAAATTTTCTAATACGATACGCATGGGAAGTGTTTGCTATAGCTACAAGCCACATCAACTGCCGCTGTCGCTGCAAATTCTGAAGTACAAATACAGTAGAACAAGTCTACTGCAACTGCAGCCACTGCTACACATTCCAACTTCTGAAGTACAAATACAGTAGAACAAGCCTACTGTAACTGCAGCCACTACTACACATTCCATTTTTTAGAGGCATCTCCCTTTTTGGGCAGAGGCGGCTCTATCAAACCCTATCTCTAAAAATAGTTTTTGGGCTAGCCCGCCTCGATTTTGCCTGCTACTTTTAAAGGCTGTTTTCGAGCTGATCTGCCTCTAAAAATGCCATTTTTAGAGGTGATTTTTTGAAGATCTTTGTGCTGAGGTTTTTGGGACGTCCTTGAATGATCTTTAGGTGCTATGAGGGCTTGGGAATACACATAGCCACTCTCTCTGGCAGATTTTTCATGAGCACCTAGAAACTTGCATTTGGAGGAAAAATGACAAAACCCCAATTTGAGAAAGCGATTTTAAATTTTCCATTCAAGCTTTGATATTTTTGTCTTGATCTCTTGGGGATAGCATCTAAATAGGTTAGTCAAGATGTGTACAAAGTTTTGAATTTTTTGGAGTTAACTTGAATCAGTCTTGGATTTTTTTCGTCTAGTTTTGGGGATTGTTTTTTCTGGCTGGTTCGGAACTTCCGACACGCATCCGAACTTTCAGTCCATCTTGTAACCTTTGACCACAATGTGGAATTTCAAATATAAGATATATATCGTTACGCATGGTAAACCATGTTTATTTGCCAATGTGACCATTTTCTAATATGCTAATATTTATAACTATATCAAATGGCTATATAGTTCACATGACACATTTGATTACAACACAATACAAGAGCTAGCCTATGAAATAATAAAATAAAACTATGCATCAGGAAAGCTGATTTCATTTTCACTTTCCAGTTTCCACGACTACCACGTAAGCTAAGACATGAAACCTCCCACAAAGACTGACATTGTTATAAAAGCACGATGAGAAAGATTAATTCGGTCTCACATCGATATACATTGAATACTGGTATACTACTCCTTGCAGCGAAAGAGCATGTTGTGTAGTCGTTGCAAGTGTGGTTAGTAGCACCTCCAGTCATGGATTTCGTGGGAGCAAATTTAGGCGGACTAAAAAATTCCCCTTCTTGGCAAATCCGGGGTTAGGAGGTTTTCTCGACCTGCTTGATTGAGGTCTTCTACCTTAATAGCATTACTTTTGTCCATGTTTTGTGGACCGGCGAGTAAATTTAGCGCCGCGCTGCTCAAGGGAGATGATGGTGGCACTCGAGACACAAGGAATTTATACTGGTTCGAGACGAAGCCCTACGTCTAGCGCCGGAGTCAGTGAGTTCGTGTTCCTCGGTTCAAGTGCTCCAAAAGGCTTACAATGGGGGGTATACAAGCTAGGGGTCTACAGATAGAAAGGGTTTCGAGGTAGGAGAATTTGATTGTCTAGAAAGAAGGCCCGGCTCCCCTTATATAGTCGTGGGGGACAGGGTACATGTAGAGGTGAAGGGTTCTCCCGACCCAAGTGGTCGAGAGCCCGAGGGGAGGGAGAAGCTGGCGAGCTCTATTTGCAGTCCCTCCTGGTCTGGTCTTGTCCTGGCTTCTGTATGCACGCCCGGGTATGGTCGTCGAGTTCTTTCTCCCGACGTCAAGGTATGACGTGTCATGGCATTAGTGTGCTAGTCATGGCGACACTGTGGGAATGGTGGTTATTCACCTACTTCCTTGTGTGACATGGGCACGTAGTGGACGTCATGGTGTCCGTCCTAGCACCCGTTATTCCGGGGTGGCGTCGTTGTATGGAGAGGGCTATTGTCCCTTGCGGGTGGCCTACTCTCCCGCTCGCGGCTATGTTACCCCGACCTCTCATGGTTGGGTCGGGGGCATTGGATTAGGCTGGTTCGATGGGAGATGGCTCCCGGTCGTAGGTCTGTACCCGTAGTGGGTATGATCGTACGCCAATCTTATCGAGTTAGGCAGGGTTTGGAAGGTGAGGAGCCACACATGATGATGTAGCTGAGCCCCGGTACCGTCTTGTCCATCAGAAGGGCATGGCCTGAGGGGTGACGCTCTACCCCAGGGCCTGGCGGACTAGGGTGTGGTCGTCCTTCTTTGTACCTGGAGGAGTGTGAGTGCGCGTGCATGTCCTGTCCGGACAGGTGCATTTAATGCATCCACCCACCTCCCATCCTTCCCCTACGGCTAAGGCCGGTGGTGGTTGAGGTGGTCGGCGCGGTGCGTGGTTGAGGAGACGGGTGAGGTCGAGGCAGGCCTCGTACGGCTCGGGGGAATAGAGGTTGAGGCAGGTCGTGGTTAGCTGGACTGTCCCGAGGGACTTCTCACTCATGTCTTGGGGTACCCTGGGTGTGTACCCCCCCACAACTTTGGTAAAGGTCATATCCCTAGCGTTTGGACTTTTTTTACTACTCCCTGCACTATTGAGCTCCTAGCTTCTACCTTAATAGTAATGGGTGGAGGTCATATCCCTAGTGGATCGATTTTTTACTACTCCCTACATTATTGAGCTCCTCGAAATCTCGTGTTGTCATGTAGTTGGCTGCACATTTGTCTCGACTCCATCCTGTCCCTAGCAACAAGCCAACAATGGACATTCGGATCCATTTCTAGCCTTTGTCGTCCTCTCCTCACCCTCAAGCTCATTCGGTGCAGTAGTTCTTTCTTCAATACTTGTTTAATTAATTGCAGTTGTGCTATCCCTACTCGTGAGATTGAAAGTTCAAATTTGAGTTTGGAAGTACTTGAACAATGGTTTCATTGGTTTGTATAAGTTTGTGCCGCCCTTCTGTTCTAATGTATAATTATTTATGCAAATTTTCGTAGTGCCTGAGCTGGGACGTCCCGTGTCAGATTCTGTATGCATGAATAATGGTTGAGTTGTAAAAAGTCGATGATTCGAGATCCGACACTCAACGTTCGATGGACTACCGGGATTATCTAATTCCTATCAGTTAGAAATTCGAAGAACAATGACGGGTGCATGTGAATTGGTATAATTTGAATACTTCTGCCACGCATTCATAATAATTATTATCTTGAAGGCTCGCGCGCGGCATGCGCAGAATAATATCTCCTTGAGACAATAAGGTCAAAGGAATATATACACCGGTGGTGTAGGAATAACATGATTGATACTTCTCCGTTTTTTTATGTGTCAGCTAGCTCCTCGATATTCTCATTGTCACGTAGTTGGCTGCAAACTTGTCCCAACCCCTGGCAAAAACAAAAATGGACATCGAGATCCCGTTTCTTGTAGCCTTCGTCTTCCTCGCGCTCCTCCTCAGGCTCATCCGGAGCTACATCACATCATCGCGCACGAAGCCATCACCAGCGCTTCGGCTGCCACTAGGGCCATGGCAGCTGCCGCTCATCGGCAGCCTGCACCACCTCCTCCTGTCGCGCTTCAGCGACCTGCCTCACCGGGTGCTGCGCGAGATGTCCGGAACCTACGGGCCCCTCATGATGCTCCGCTTCGGCTCCGTGCCCACGCTGGTGGTCTCCTCCGCCGAGGCTGCCAGGGAGGTGATGAGGACCCACGACCTCGCCTTCTGCAACCGCCACCTGGGCGTCACCCTCGAGACCATCAGCTGCGGCGGCAAGGACATCATCTGCTCCCCCTACAACGCCCACTGGCGTGAGCTCCGCAAGCTGTGCATGCTCGAGATCTTCAGCCAGCGGCGCGTGCTCTCGTTCCGGCCCGTCCGGGAAGCCGAGGTGGCGCGCCTCCTCCGCTCCATCTCCGACGAGAGCAGCGGTGGCCAGCAGCCCGTCAACCTCACCGAAGGGATCTGCCGCATGATAAACGACGTCGCCGCGCGCACGGTCGTCGGCAACCGGTGCGAGTACCGGGATGAATACATACACGAACTGGATGAAGTGGTGCGGCTGGCCGGTGGGTTCAACCTGGCGGACCTGTACCCGTCCTCGCGGCTGGTACGCCGGTTCAGCGCCGCCGCGAAGGACGCGAGGAGGTGCCAGAGGAACATGTACCGTATCATTCAGAGCATCATCCAGGAGCGTGAAGCCATGGCGACGCCAGAGCGAGACGAGGACCTCCACGGCGTCCTCCTGAGGCTGCAGAGAGAAGGTGGCCTGCAGTTTGCTCTCACCAACGAGATAGTCAGCACCGTCATTTTCGTAAGATCTGCTTAAAACTCCATTGCATATGATACTTTGTTCTTTAATGTTCTATTTCACTACCCGAAACAGTAGGTGTGTCGAGTGCCTGAGGGTTTGCCGAGTGCATTCTATCGAGCACTCGGCAAACCTCTGCTGTGCCGAGTGCCACCGTGGAAACATTCGGCAAACATATTGCACTCGACAGAAAACCCTATTTGCCGAGTGCCTTAAAGTAAACACTCGACAAATCATAACGAAACATTCGGCAAACATCAGGCACTCGGCAAAATAGCAGCACGTGCACCCTGCCGTTAGCACTTTGCCTAGTGTCCATTAGTGACACTCGGCAAAGACATTATTTGCCGAGTGTTTCTTTATGGCACTCGGCAAATTAATCATTTTGCCGAGTGTTTTATGTTGGGCTCTCGACAAAGCCTAAACCTTTTTCCCTCTTCTGTCCTTAAAACTTTTTCTACTCTCTACATACAACATGTGGTACTCCATGTTAAGATTTGGTATATTTCTGAAACCATTTGCTATATTTAATTAATTTATTGCATTTCAAGGAATTTTTTGGTATAAGTCAAATTTGAACGGCAAGTGATTCAAATAATAGAATAAAATGAGTAGAAAAATGATATTCATGTTATTGAGTCCGGTGTGAGGCCTTACCAAGGAAATGAAAAGAAATTTCGAACATCTTGTTCAGGAAATACGACCACGAACATGTGGCCGAATGGTTTTTAAATTCTAAAAAAAGCAAACAAAGTCTGAAAATCATGAAATTTGTCAAGATCTCGTGATATCATATGTGGAGGTAAGGCTGGACAAAAAACTCTCGAAGCTCGTTAGCTCGCTCGGCTCGTGGCTGGCTCGACTCGGCTCGGCTCGGCTCGTTATGATAACGAGCTGAGCTGAGCCAAGATTTTAGCTCGTTAGCTATAACGAGCCAACTCGAGCCAGCTCGCGAGCCGCTCGTGAGCTAAACGAGCCAAGCTTCCAGGAAAAAAGTATCAAAACTTATATTAGTTTTTGTATTACTTCATATCTTGCACTTTACAATTGACTAGTAATTAATCTAAACCCTATAAATTGACTGGTAACTGGTCTAGATGCATTTCTTTTATATTATTATTATTCTCAAACTTTAGATAAATGCAAATATTATATTTTGTGTATTTTTTATACTTGACTCGCGAGCTTAACGAGCCAGCTCGAGCTTTTAACGAGCCGAGCCGAGCTGGCTTTCTGGCTCGTTAGGATAACGAGCCAAGCCAAGCAAGCTCGTTATCTTAACGAGCCAGAACGAGCCGAGTCGTAACGAGCCGAGCCAGCTCGTTATTCAGCCTTACGTGGAGGCCATGGTAAAAAAATTAAGAAGGTTTCGGATAATCTGTCACGTACGATGTTTACAAACCGAGGTATCTCAGAAGAAGAATCGTAGCGTTGAGAAGGATTCGGTAAGATTTAGAGTCAAAGTGACGGTCGAATTGGGGTTTGACTTCAAAACTTTTTGTATAGGCAATAGAGAACATAGATTGATTCATGTGTAATTTTGGTAATTTTCTGGATCCGTTCGATAATTTTAATTTGTTAAGTGTAATTATAGAATTTTAATTAATATACATTGAATTTGAGCAGCAAACTGCATGAAATAATAAGTTTTTTTCACTTTTGACCTTGAAACTTTTTCTAGTCTCTACATACAACATGTGGTACTGCATGTTAAGATTTGGTGTATTTCTGGATCCATTTGATATATTTAATTAATTTATTGCGTTTAAAAGAATTTTTTGGTATAAGTCAATTTCAAACTGCAAGTGATTCAAATAATATAATAAAATGAGTAGAAAAATGATATTTATGTTATTGAGTCCCGTGTGAGGCCTTATCCGGGAAATGAAAGGAAATTTTGAACATCTTATTCACGAAACCCGACCACGAACGTGTGGCCGAATGGTTTTTAAATTCTTGAAAAAAACAAACAAAGTCTGAAAATCATGAGATTTGTCAAGATCTCATGATATCATACGTGGAGGCCATGGTAAAAAATTGAGAAGGTTTTGGACAATCTGTCACGTACGATGTTTACAAACCGAAGTATCTCAGAAGAATCGTAGCGTTGAGAAGGATTCGGTAAGATTTGGATTTAAAGTGACGGTCGAATTAGGGTTTGACTTCAGACCTTTTTGTATAGGCAATAGAGAAAATAGATTGATTCATGTGTAATTTTGGTAATTTTTTGGATCCGTTCGATAATTTTAATTTGTTAAGTGCAATTATAGAATTTTAATTGATATACATTGAATTTAAGTTACAACTGCAAAAAATAATAAGTATTTTTTCACTCCTGACCTTGAAACTTTTTCTACTCTCCACGTACAACATGTGGTACTCCATGTTAAGATTCGGTATATTTCTGAATCCGTTTGGTATTAACATGTGGTACATGCAACATGTTAAGATGTGGTATTGCATGAAATAATAAGTTTGTCGAGTGCCCCTTAAATGGCACTCGGCAAAGCTGGGTTTTGCCGAGTGTCAGACCTAGGACACTCGGCAAACCCCTTCACGGCCCCACACATGTGCAATAGGGTTTCAAAAATGGGAAAAAAAAAAAAACCGAGGCTTTGCCGAGTGCTACCTGGAACACTCGGCAAACAAATGCTTTGCCGAGTGCTAGATCTCGGGCACTCGGCAAAGCTTGCGCATATCCACCCCTCCGGCTGCACACACACGCACGCACTCACACACACGCCACGCTGCACACACTCACACACACACCGCACCGCGCCCCCGGCCGGCTGACCGCGCCGCGCTCCCGGCCGCCCATGCCCCCGGCTGGCCAGACCCTCGAGGAGCAACCCCGCCACCGTCGCACCCTCATAGAGCGACGCCCACCACCGTCTGCCCCTCGTCGGGCGACCCTGATGCCGTCCGCCCCTCGCCGGGTGACTCCACCGCCGTCCGCCTCTCGCCGAGCAACCCCACCGTCGTCCGCCCTCTCGCCGACGGACCCCGACGATGTCCGCCCCTCGCCGAGCGACCCGCCGCCGCCCCTTCCTCGCGGAGCGACTCCGCCGCCGTCCATCCCCAGCAAGGCATCGCCCTCTCACCTCGACGCGCCTCTCAAAGTTCGGAGCTGTCCGTCCCCAGCAAGGCATCGCCCTCTCTCCCAGCAAGGCATCGCCCTCTCTCACAACTTTCCTGTCAAGCTATCAGAATTGTTTTGGCTGTCTATTTTAGAAACATGATATGACATTTTATCGTATATAACAGTTCTTCTCAGGTTTCACACTTGATGCTCTGTTAAATTTGAGTATTGAAACTTTCCTGTTAGGCTTAGGCTGTTATAAATTGTTTTAGCTGTCAATTCTACAAATACTGTACAACAGTTCATCGTATACATATGTGCCAACTTTGGCATTGTTTTTTTATGGAACTTCACATCATGCTCTTCTCTATGTCGATTTTGGGTGCTTAGCTTTCTATAAAATAGCAGACTCTGACAACTAGAACAAAACATCGAAAAGCATTTCCACAGCACTTTAGGAGTACGGATTTATCACTGTTCATGTACCTTGCATCATTAGAAAAGGAGACAGAAGGGAACTAGAAAATTGCCTTCTTGAGTATGTGCTTTTGCTTGCTGGATTTAGTTTGACATTGTTGGTATGTGGTTGTCGGCCATCATGCCGTTGTTTTGGTGTGTATGTGTTTGTCGGCCATCGTGCCGTTGGTTTATTGCAGATTTTGGTTACCTCACCGTGCAGGAGAGGTGCTACCGAAATTTACAATTGATACTTATTATGTTCGTTTGTTGCAGGAGAGGCTATTGCAAGGATCATTCCCCATCGTCCTCGACTCGTCACTTTGCAGGACAGCAAGGTGAGGCATCCTACACCTCTCTTTTCATATCATATTCGTATATCACGTAACCTAGCTAGGCGTCTCCCGTTCGAAAGAGATACGGTTGGAAATTAAATATGCAGATCTTTGCATATCTATAACCGTATCTGTTTCGAATTGTCCATGTTTTTTGACAGCCCGAGGATGTGTAGATAGAGTTAGTTTCCATGCTCTACTAGAAACTTAGTGACTAATGTTATATGTTTGTTATCAACTAGTACTTAAGCAATCATACTAGAATACAATGCAACTGAGAAGATATTGCTGATAGTTACAAGGGTTATACTAGTTAGACAGCAGAGAGACCATACGTCTTGTTTAATCTTGTCTCACACATGCAATCTCTTCTCCTTTATGCAGCATCAATCGGCGGCATCGAATGAGCCTCATGACCTAGCCCTGTCGTAGTGGAACTCGTGGCCTAAGTGACTACTTGTGATTTTATTTGTATTTGTATTTGCATTTGTGGATTACCTGTGACTACTTGTGGTTGTGAATGAACCTACTTATGATTCTAAAGTTTATTTGCATTTATGTGTTGTCGATATATCTATATGAACTATCTGTGATGCCTATTGTGAACTATCTGTGATGGATGTGATGTTTATTTGCATATGGATGGTACGTGGCTGTGACCAAACCTAATAAACTGATTATTTGTGGCAGCTTTGCCGAGTGTAACACTCGACAAAGAGGCCTTTTGCCGAGTACCAGGGTTAAAATACACGGCAAAGTGTACACGTGGTAAAATCTATGCATTATGGGACTAAAATGGCTTCTTTGCCGAGTGTCTGCGCTATGACACTCGGCAAAGAAGCCAAAATTCTATGCATTCTGGGGTGTGTTTGTCAAGTGCCTGGTATTCGACACTCGGCAAAGGACGAAGGTTTGTCGAGTGCCTTGAATGTGACACACGGCAAAAGTGGAAGCTTTGCCGAGTGCCTGGACTGTGACACACGGCAAAGAAGCAAAGTTTGCCGAGTGCCTAGAATTTAACACTCTGCAAATTAGGAATGTTTGCCGAGTGCCCGAGATTTGACACTCGGCAAACGCGCCGTGACCGTCTCTGTTCCGTCACGTTACTTTTTTCGCCGAGCGTCGGTTTCAGCTCTCGGCAAAGTCTTTGTCGAGTAACCAATAGAAAACACTCGGCAAAGAGCCGTTTGCCGGCACTGTAGATATCGTGTATTGTTTGCCGAGTGTTACACTCGGCAAATCCTTTGCCGGAGTGTTTTTTGGGTTTTGCCAGTGCCTGTGGCACACGGCAAAGCAAATGTTTCGGTAGTGTTTGTTCTAATTTAGCGTCAGCAGACAAATGAAATTTTACACTAAACATAGTAGGTCATGTTTGGCACCTACAACTAACAAAATTATTAGTTATCCTTGTTCTATTATTTTAATTTATTTTCTACCACAATATAGATATACTTTATGTCTTTATCTATATACGGTTGTGAATACATATATTTTTTTCTATCCGTATTCATTCCCTGTGCGGGGCACATCCATCTGGCTTCAAACATTTAGTTAAAACTACAGCTTAAATCTCGGTGTCTCTTATTGCAAACCATATGACGAGACATCGTAAATCTACGTGTTGACTTAAATTTTGATTTTGTTAGTTGCTATATTTTTTTAATCCTCGATCAAGTTAAGTCAAATATCTTGTGCTTACCTTTTCGTTAGAACTTTTTTTAGTTTTATAAAAGAGAATTTGGGTCGTAATAAAATCCATTCTTACTCTCTTCATTCTAAGTTATTGTTCTGGATTTTCTAAGTACATAAATTTTATTATATATTTAGATATAGTTTATATTTAGGTGCATAGCAAAAATAATACCTATAAAAAATAGAACAACTTACAATTTAGAACATGGGGAGTATTTACTAATATGGTAAAAGTTGTAGTTTAAGCCTGCACCACGGCACACAAAATTAAATCGACGATAGAGTTTGAGGTAAGATCTAGGAGGGGCTAAGGAAGTAACGATGCTAACCTCAAGACTCAAGAGGATATACAGTAATCATTGTTTACTATAAAAGGATCTTGAATACCAGAGGTGTCATATCCACAAGACAACTTTGGTGTATCCAACCTCCTTCGTTCCTCAAAGATGTTAATTTTTTTATTAACAAATTATATTAGTAATTATTTTTTAAAGAAAATTATGATGCTTAATTACAATTATACTGTTAATTGAGGTATGCCATTGTGCTTTAGTGAAAGTGTATGCACAACAAGTATGTTTATTTTAAGTTAGTGTTTTATATATTAAGACTAATAGAAATGGGTCACTTAGAAGCATACATATAGATGCAATTTATTGGTGATTTAAATGTTCCATATTAGCATATCTTGATAAGTTAGATGTAAATTTAAGAAGATATTTTAGTTATTTTAAATAATGACAGAAGTAGGAACTTATTAGATGGTAATATAAGGGGTTACTTAGATTATCCATCATAATGACATGGTATGTAATTTAGATGCAAAATTTGGGATTACTTTGGATGATGTTGCATTGGTGCCTGATAGCATAGGTGGGTAATTAATTTATATTATATGCACGGTTAGGGGTAACTTATGTGGTTTTTTCATAATGATATAAGTGGATATTGTTTAGAAAATACAATAGATCGAATAATTATCAACATTGATTAGAGTCTACCAAATTGATGGTTAAATTCAGTTTTTGTTAGAATATTAAGATTTTTTAGCGTGCCCTATGAGAATCAATGTGAATGTCCTGTTTTCCAATTTGTACGGCTTGTTCGCTAGTTGGTTTTTAGGATGATAAATCCGGCTGGTGCTGGTTTGTTGTGAGAGGAAAATACTGTTGGCTGGCTGATAAGCCCTGGTTGAAACCAACAAGCGAACAGGCTGGTAATTGTAAGGTTGTACTTGTAAGATTGTACTGTAGGATATTTTTCTGCTGGGAGTGAAACGTCATCAACCGATCTAGTATGGGCAATGTCGGAGCTTGTTAAGAATCCGCAAGTCATGCATAAGGCCCAGTCAGAGGTGAGGGAGACCTTCAAAGGACAAGACAAGATAACTGAAGATGATCTGGTCAAGTTAAGATATCTACAGCTGGTGATCAAGGAGACTTGACGGCTACATGCTCCAGTACCACTCTTGCTCCCTCTGGAATGTCGCAAGTCATGTCAGGTTATGGGTTACGATGTGCCAAAGGGAACCAAGGTGTTTGTGAATGCTTGGGCAATAGCAAGGGACATGAGATTATGGCGTGATGGAGAGGAATTGAGGCCAGAAAGATTTGAAAATAGCAGTATCGATTTCAGGGGTAATGACTTCGAGTTCACACCGTTTGGAGCAGGCAGGAGAATATGCCCTGGTATCACACTCGGACTGGCCAGCCTAGAGCTGGCGCTTGCTAGCCTTCTTTACCATTTTGATTGGGATTTGCCCAATGGCGCCAAGTTGGAAGAACTTGAGTTTTGTTCGCTTGAACTTATCAGCCGGCTTATCAGGTAGAATCTACAGTATTTTTCTTTCCCAACAAAACAGCTTCAGCTGGCTTTAATACCAGCCGCCAGAGGCCTTTGGTATAACATTATAAAAGAAGTCCATGCTCTGGCTTAAGGCCAAACCTTACAATATTTTTATACCAAACTAATCATGTGATTTGTGATGTGAACTATGTCCCTGTTGCTACTAAATTTATACCTAGAAAGAGTGTGATTATAATTGTACTATCAATCTTTACTACAGGACAATAAAGATATGCAGAGTTATTTAAAAAAAAGATATGCAGAGTTTGTCCTATCCTTCTGTTATATTGTTTCATCACTCTCTATTAAGTGTAGTTATCTTCTTATTTACATTTTGTGAAATGATTAAACAATTATCTAATGAGAGTACAAGAATCAAATGAGACTGGTCTATGTCTGATGCTGTATACTACTATTAATTTTGCTTTACTTAATAGGAGTACGCTATCATTTTATTTGGAGAAATTGAAATTTTCTAATACCATAGACGCAGGGGAAGAGTTTGCTGCCTACAAGCCACATCAGCTACAGCTGCCGCTGCAACTTCTAAACTACAAATATGATAGAAGAACTTTGTTGCAGCTACAACCACTACTACAAAATCCATTTTTAGAGCCATCTTTCTTTTTGGTAGAGGCAGCTTTATCAAAATCTGTATCTGACAATGGTTTTTGAGCCATTTCGCCTCTAGAAATCAGTTTCTAGAAGTGGCTCTAGCCATCTATAGAAATGCCCATAATTTTTAGAAACGGCTGACAAGACGATCCACCTCTATAAATGTTATTTTCTGAGATGGCTCGGCTTCCTAGCCGTCTTTACTAAGGTATTCAAAACCATAAAGTTTGTTAGTAGTTTAGAAAACTTTATCTGTCATTCGTATGCAAATCAATTCTTCATCTTGATACACATAAGCAAGCTCAATGGTTTAGAGTGAAGTTTTCAAAAACCATGGTTTAGAAACCGTAGCGTTTTCAAAACCATAGTGTTTTAATCAAGAAAAAGAGGTTTAGAGTGAAGTTTTCAAAAACCCTGGTTTAGAACCCACTTGATTTTGAAGTCTTTTTGAGTTTTCAGAAGTTCACTCTACACCTTTTCTTTTTCTAAACCATGGTTTTACGTATTAATGGGTTCTAAAACTGTAGTTTCTTAATACTACCACATACAAAGTAAGGTCTTAGTGTCGTGGCTAATCTATAAACTTTGGAAAAGTTTGCACTCTCTTGAGAGTAAATGTAGTGATCATCTGATAATAACAACAACAACGACAATAATATATAAAAGGGAATTGCTATATATCCGTTTGACAGATTTTAGGATTCTGAACCGCTAGATGTAAAAGCAACCATCGGATTTCCTTCTCCAACCTCTCTTCCGTCTTCCCCCAGGAATCGTGCCCCAATCCGCCCCATCCGCCGCCGGCACCACCATGCTCCTTCTTCACCAAGTGGGAGGCGACAGATCCGTCTTCTAGCTCTTGCGGCACCGTGCAAGGAGCCGGCCGGCGAGGAGCGCGGCTCCGGTGGCCCCAGAAGTGGAAGGGGCGCGGGCTCCGGCGGTCCGACGTGTGGAAGGCGAGCGCGTCTCCGGGCTGAGGACACCGAAGGCCGAGCGCACCGGAGGCCAGTAACCTGCAGCGGCGTACGGAGCTCTTATCTCGGCACAATCCTCCCCTCCCGACGGGATAGAATCCGTGGGATAAGAGGTCCGAATTTCCCTTTCCCCTAAGTATGGTCGCAAATTCTTTCCATTGCTGTTTCTGGCTGTTTCTGATCTAATTAATTTGATCAACCGTAGGAGCAATACCCTTTTGTTTGTCTGCTAAATTTGAGTACACAAGTACTTAAGCTGCTGGATTTGTAGTGGTAAACACGGTGGATTAGAGGTGTCGGGAAATGTACCGTGGGGGCCTTGACCGCTTCAAGAAGGCACAGACCTTGGAGCCCTTCTCAGTGAAGGAGTCAGGCACCAAGAACGCAGCTGCAGCTGCAGGAACAGCTAAAGCACCACCGGCTCCGTTGACACTGCCACATAATTCTAATTTTGTGCCGGGTCAGAATCACCAAAGTCCGCAAGGCACCAGCTCAAGGGTGGCTGGGCAAGATGGTGTTGCTCCTGGCCATGTTGGGACACAGGTCGGTGGAGGGCAGTCGACGTGGCAACCTCCGGACTGGGCGATTGAGCCGCGCCCTGGTGTCTACTATCTTGATGTGGTGAAAGACGGGGAGGTCATTGACAGGATCAATCTGGACAACAAGAGGCATCTATTCGGGAGGCAGGTTCCTGCTTGTGACTTCGTGTTGGACCACCAGTCTGTGTCGCGTCAGCATGCTGCTGTTATCCCACACAGGAATGGAAGGTTAGGACCCTCATGTCTGATCACTTGCAATTCTATTCTATGTTCTTATGTATCCCATGTTTAGTAAGGCACATTTCTTTAGACTTTATTTATTCCCTGAATGTCAAATTTTCTAGCATCTCATGATTAACTTCTTTTGTGAGTACCACCAGGCTCATAGATGTGCCTGCTTTTTATAGTTTGACGGGTTCGTGCATCATACCACATATGAAGATACCTTGTTATCATAGGCAAAATCATTTTCAGTGGAGTACCACTGAATGCACACATGTAAAATGAAATGCATCTTAGTAGTCTGATCATTGCCCGTGTGTTGCAACGGGAGAAAAAAAATCAACATGAAAACATGCTAGTTTGAGATCGCCAAACACTATAACCCGCCTAATGCGTTAGCAACATGCTATTTCTAGATACATTGAAATACATGAGCATCATCTTACATATCGATATCTAATCAAGCATAAATAAAGAACACTAAAATACATAATTCTAGTCAAAGGAAGCAAGTATTTTCAGCAGGGTCGAGGACCAATGTTTTTCTTGTTAAGTGACGTATGATGTATCACACCCCATACACAAACTTCTCTCAGGTATGGTTTATTTGAGAACAAGCAATGGCAATGTATATTCCAGTGTAGAAGCAACAGTATTGTGTAATTTACAAGGAACTAAGGAAGGGAACAATATCTACAAGCCTGACATACCCACATTGCCAAAAATCTAAGTTTGCTGGTTTTGCTTAATGCTTACTACTACTAATGGCAAAACTGGTTGTACTTACCACCCAGCCTCATGTGTTTATTGAGCTGATCAAATTCACATCAATTTGCATGTACACCCGCCTGCTTGCCATCTAACTTGCCATTAATTATGCTGCTTTGCTTCTTGTCTCCCCGCAAAATGTTATGGTAACCACCAGTATCGCCATCTGCTCAACCACCCTAATCTCTTCAGATAAGATGATAGAGCTAAATCTGCAAGTTTATCTATACATGCTTATTACCATCCGTTAATTTGGCAATTCCATTTCCTTGGAACTCTGAACTAAGCAAGGATAATCAACAAAAGATGCATCACTGAATCAAAGCACATCAAAGCAGCAGCATCCCATCTCCTCACTGAATTGTCCTTGTGAGTCTGGACTTGGAGATGAAGAGGGTGTCAGTGCAGTTGAGGTGGCACAGCTTGAGCAGCTCCCACGCTTTCTGCTTCAGCTCTGGTGCACAGCCACTTTGGATGACAAGTAGAAGCTTCATGGTCAACCCAGCCTCCACGGCAGCAGGTGCACACTCTTCAGGAGCCATCCGACACACCGTCCACACCATTGACAGCGCCCGTCGCATTCATGCCTCTGAAACTCTCATCAGCATGCGGACAACATTGGGTATCGTCTGTGGACAATCCTTAAGAGCCGTCCTCCCCTCTGGAACTGCAGACAGGGCATCCAAGATGTCCAAGGCCGGCTCGACACACTCCGTTGCTAACTCCGGCAATAATTCCACCAGCTGCGGTACCGCACCTACGCTAACAATCATACTCCTTGCTGGCCTGTGGACCGCACAGATTGAATTCAGCAGCTCAAGCCCCGCGACCACACCATCTGGATGCTGCTTGTCCCGGATGAGGCGCTTGAAACAAACCAAGACTCTCAAGCTCGCGGTGCTGTGGGGGGCCACCTATACGGATCTGTCCTCCACCTCTGCAAACGCTGCGGCAGCCATGTCTGGGGCAAGAGGGGTGCCAACTGGGTAAAGCGGGGAGGGGTGGGGAGGTAACAGGGCAAAGGTGGGACGGTGTGGTTTTTCTTTCGTTTGTGGGGAAAAAAACGGGTGTGGAGGGGCGGACGAGCCAGAGAGGCACTCCGAAGTGGTGTGTGGACGTAAGCGCTCTGCGGGTTTTAGGACTAGAGATATCTTTGTTCTCTTGCCTTCGGTTATTTTATAGACAGGCGTGTTTCCTTGGAACTTTTCTGCCAAAGAAATGCATGTCATGCTGGAAGATGGTTTCTATTGTCTTTCTTTACCATTGTGACTTAGGTGTATAATTATCTGCTACTCTATACCTGCATTTATGTCTCAGAAACATTTTCCAGTTATTGTTGGTTCTTATATCACTTTATCAGCTTTTTTAACCAAAAACTCATTCCATGAAAATTAACTAACAAAGAGGGTATTATATTATGTATTCTTTTTTTTTAATCTGTAATGAACTATGGTGCTCCTAGATGTTCATGACATTGGTTCTGTATCCCATGAAGTTTTAATTATTTGTAAAATTAATTTACTTTAGGTTGAAATTTGGAATGAATTCCATAATTCCTGTGCTCCATTTGAATAACTTCTTCGTTGGTTTGTGCATTTGTAGACCCATAAGGAATACCATGTGAACTTTTTTGTCAGAAATCATCCCCTGAACTTCTTTTTGTTTTACTGTACATTATTGTATTAGACTGCTAGGTTTACTACTAACCACATGTCCTTGCTTTTCTATTTCAGCATCTATGTTATCGACTTGGGATCAGTTCATGGCACGTTTGTTGCGAATGAGAGATTAACAAAAGACAACCCTGTTGAACTTGAGGTTGGACAGTCACTTCGCTTTGCTGCATCAACCAGAACCTATTTCCTGCGAAAGAACACAGCTGCTCTATTCCCAACTCCTAGCCTTCCATCAGATGTCAGTTTGCCATCTCCTCCAGATCCCAATGATGAAGATGGTGTTGTGGCATACAATACAGTACTTAACCGCTATGGTATTAGTAAATCTGACATATTATCCAGTTCCAAAGATTCTTCAGGAGGTGCCTCTGGAGCAAATGATGATAAACATGCAGTTGAAAGGCCCTTGAAGAGAAGTAAAAAGCACAGAGTGTCATTTAGAGACCAGGTTGGAGGAGAACTTATCCAAGTGGTTGGGATTTCAGATGGTGCAGATGTTGGAACTGAACCGGGCCCTATAGGTGTGAAGGAAGGCAGTCTTGTTGGGAAGTATGAATCTCTTGTACAGGTTACTGTCATACCGAAGGGAAAGGAGCAAGCATCACCAAAAGAATGTACCTCTACCTCAACGAGTGGGGTAACGGATAAGCTACAAGAGGTGCTTAAAAAAGTAAAGAGCACAACAAGACCTGGAATTTACGATGACCTTTATGGGGATTCTGTTCCAGCAAAAGTGGGCTCGTCTTGGGCATACAAATCAGATGATCTGTCAGATAAAGCCCAACCTGTTGAGGAGAAGACACATAGCATGAATTTAAACACGAATTCAGCCGATGACAGTGATGACTTGTTTGGTGACTCGTGATTCAGAATTGTCAGTGGATACAAAAAAATGTATTCTTCGGAATTTCATGGCAGAGTTTCATTTGTTAGAGGCCTTTTTTTTGCTTAGTTACACATGATTGTACCCTGCTGCAAATCAAGGTATGTTCTTTTGCCTAATGTTAGCAACTTAAGGACATGCTTTGTTATAGTGATGCTCATGGTGAGTTTAAACTTATCTCCCTCCTGTGTTGTTTCTTAATATAGGGAAACTCTGTTGCCTTGTTCATGAGGTTCCCTTGCCTTGTTCATGAGGAAAAGTTGTCTGCTTGCATCATGTTCTCGTTGAATCTTTGGCCAGGCAGGCTTTTGATGGGACTTTTTCACTGGCTTAATCAAAAGCCCTATCAATTTGCCAAATGTGTACACACATGACGACTACTTGCACCATAGGTATCCTCAGACCATATGAGGAAGCTGCAACAAACGCTCACTCCTCACTCAATTGGGTTAACTCGGGCCGCGACACGGTGGCTATACCCATCAGGTGCACTATGGAGGTGCATTGTCTTTTTTTTTTTAAAAAAAACTCCTAAGTATGTATTAGGGGGCTTATCATGAATCCATTAAAGATAAGTTTTGTATAATTGATATTTTTCTTAGATGCTGATGCATTTGTATAAACTTGATCATTAAGAAGTTTGACTTAGGGCAAACTAAAACAAAACACTCTCTCACACACATTGTCTCTCTCTGACACATAAACACGTGTAGAGTGAGTATTTTCTATTCCCATGTACCGGGGTCATCGTACTTCGGTATCTCAAGACACCGTTTAGCTAGCCGCACGGGCGGTCCACCAAAGCTACAAACGCCCTGGGCCAAGCACCAAGCCATGAGGTCCATCACGACCTCTCCCACCTCCTTCCGCCATGTGCTGTGCAGCATCGCACGATCTCTCCTCCGTCTCGACCCCTAAAAGGGAGCAGAGAGAGGTCGAGCTTCGCTAAGTACAACAACCCTGATAGTGGCAGGCATGCTCCACTCACTCCGCTAGGACTGAGGGGACAGTTATCCCTCATCTCGGGACAGACACCATCCCTGCGTCATCCCACACGGACAAGACAACACCGCGCAGGCAGTACGACCTGTACGGCTCCTACCATCCAAATATGGCCTGACAAGACGGGCGTACGGCTCCACTCGCTACGGGATGGGGCACATAACCTTGGCCTTGACTTTCGAGACCAACCAAGCCACCGGGGACCTCGACCTCGCAATCCGAGGTCGAGGCCACTGGCACTACGACCAGCAAAGGCGACCGACGACCTGGGGGCGGCTACCTGCTCCCACACTGTCGCCACGACGCCACCAGGAGAACAGGAGATGATGACGAAGGCCACGACAAGATCACGTCGCACAGGACAGTTGGTGAACCGCCACCGTGCCAACTGTGCCGTCATGGTCGGCACTGTAGCATCACACCATGCCACGCCGTGATGTGAGAGCAAGACCCCAGCGAAAACCATACCCGAACGTGCGCCGACGCTAAGACAAGACAGGCTTGCTTGTGAGCCAAGCCTACTAGCTTCTCCCTTCCTTGGGCTTACGACCACTCGGTCAGGAGAACCCCTCTCTCTGTATGTAACCTGGCCCCCGAACACTATATAAGGGCGGCTAGGCCTCTCATCCAAGGGGACGGACTCTCGAGACTTCGTTCGGGCAGTCGTTCACCTCACTCCTCCTACCTCTTTCCCTTAGCTTACACACTCCATTGTAAGAGCATTCAACCGAGGAACACGAACTCGAGCTCTCTCTGAGACTGGATGTAGGGCTCCGACTTAAATCAATATAATTCCTTGTGTCTTTGGATGTTACCATCTGTGGGGGTATGCCCCTCGGTATCCACAAGACAAGACATGGGCCGCACCATCAGAGGTGGCCCAGCCTACAAGATCAAGGCGTGCACGGCGCTGCTCGGCGTGCACCGCAAGCTATTGTATAGTACCAAATATGATACTTTCCTTGTAACCCTGCCCCTCCAGAGTATATAAGGAGATGCAGGGGTCCCCTAGTGGACACGATCCATACATCTCATATTCAATACAATACATCAAAGACACAAGACGTAGGGTATTACGTCGATCAGACGGCCTAAACCTATCTAAATCGCTGTCTCTGCGTCTTGTGTCACCATCCGGTTCCTGATTACGCGCATCCCCACCGACAAATCTACCATCATGGAATACCCCTCGGTGGACTGCCGAGCATCTTTTGTCGACACCATCGTCTTCCTAGAGCAGCGCGACACATGTATAAATTCACTAGTCGGTTGAGAAAACACCGACGCCATGTTTAATATATCACCTTGCGTATAGGCGCATACTTATTTATCAGTTTTAATTATGCTTATATACTCATTTAAAGATACTCTAAATCTTACTCGAAAGGAGCTCGTATTTTTCAGTATATTGTTATAATGTTATAATACCATAATACTAATATATAAGTATAATCATATACACTATTTTTACTTACATACTTGGCATATTTATTAATTAATATAATAATATACTCTTTTTCTTGCGAGCATTTAATAATATACTCTTTGTACATATAATTCGTCGGTCTATATTGTTTCAAAAAAAAATCGTTGGTCTATATACCCTTTAAATCTTGAGATACAAGTATACAGCACAACGCTACATTCCTCCGCAAAACGTGGAGTCCAGCACATGGCCTCAGCCTCACGAGCGGATCTTCACCGTGCCCCGTGCCACATGCAGGGCACAGTTCTCCAGAGAGAGACAAAACACAGAACATGATTGATATATACACACATGATGTCACCGGATAAAGTGAAAGTGTTGTTTAGTGGAGTGAAAGCGTTTTTAATCCAGGTGCAGATCAAGTTTGAGACCTGTGCTTAACTGAAATATCTCATGATAATAGGTAAACCACAGAAGTTGACAAGCTAGCTAACAGAGGGAGAGAGACAAAATGTTGTCTTGGAGGAACGCAGGGCACGCCGCACGCCATATTGGAGATTTGGAGTATATATACTCCTATATACTAGTATATGTTAACATCAACTCATCGTGATCTCCGCAATATCTATATTGTTACTACATTCGCAAATCGATTGAGCTCCAAACAGCCAGGTGTGGCCAAATGGATGTCGTGACACTGTCCCTAATCCTCATCTTCCTCCTCGTCATCCGCAAGCTCACCAGGAGCTACTACACCGCCTCACCACCATCGCCCACGCCCGCCAAGTCGACGGCGGCGGCGGCACTGCGGCTGCCACCGGGGCCATGGCAACTGCCGCTCATCGGCAGCCTGCACCACCTCCTGCTGTCGCGCTTCAGCGACCTGCCGCACCAGGCGCTGCGCGAGATGTCCGGCACCTACGGCCCGCTCATGCTGCTCCGCTTCGGCTCCGTGCCCACGCTGGTGGCGTCCTCCGCCGAGGCCGCCAGGGAGGTGATGCGGACCCACGACGTGGCCTTCTGCAGCCGGTACCTGAGCGCCACCCTGGACGTCATCAGCTGCGGCGGCAGGGACATCCTCTTCTCCCCCTACAACGACCGCTGGCGCGACCTCCGCAAGGTGTGCATGCTGGAGCTCTTCAACCCGCGCCGCGTGCTCTCGTTCCGGACCGTCCGGGAGGAGGAGGTGGCGCGCCTCCTTCGCTCCATCTCGGACCAGTGTAGTGGCCATCATACCGGCGGCGGCGGCGGCGGCGGCGGCGGCGTCAACCTCAGCGACGGCATCTGCCGCATGGTGAACGACGTCGTCGTGCGGACCGCCATCGGCGACCGGTGCAAGCACCGTGACGAGTTCCTGCACGAGCTCGACGAGGCCGTGCGGCTCACCGGCGGATTCAGCCTGGCTGACCTGTACCCGTCGTCGCGGCTCGTGCGCCGGTTCAGCGTTGCCGCCCGAGACATGGGAAGGTGCCAGAAGAACGTGTACCGCATCATCGAGAGCATCATCCATGAGCGCAAGGTGGCCGCCACGCGTGTGCCGGCAGAGCGAGACGACGACGGCGACCTCCTCGGCGTCCTCCTCAGGCTGCAGAGGGAAGGTGGCCTGCAGTTCCCTCTCACCAACGAGATAGTCAGCACCGTCATTTTCGTAAGATCGTCAGATCGATGTCATCACCTTGCATTATATTCTTCGCTTTATAATTTCATCAGTCACCTTCTCCCTCATCAACATGACTATATCATACATATATACAAATTAATTGTAGGATATTTTTGCTGCCGGGAGTGAGACGTCATCAACAGTGCTAGCGTGGGCCATGTCAGAGCTTGTGAAGAACCCACGGGTGCTGCACAAGGCGCAATCAGAGGTGAGGGAGACGTTCAAGGGACAGGAGAAGTTAACCGAAGATGACATGTCCAGGTTAAGCTACCTGCACCTGGTGATCAAGGAGGCGTTACGGCTGCACGCGCCGGTGCCATTCCTGCTGCCCCGGCAGTGCCGAGAGGCGTGCCAGGTCATGGGCTACGACGTGCCGAAGGGCACCAAGGTGTTCGTGAACGTCTGGGCGATCGCGAGGGACGACAAGTTTTGGGGCGACGGCGAGGTGTTCAGGCCAGAAAGATTTGAAAGTAGCAGTGTCGATTTCAGGGGTAATGACTTCGAGTTCACCCCGTTCGGGGCCGGCAGGAGGATCTGCCCTGGCATCACACACGGGCTGGCCAACATGGAGCTCGTGCTCGCTAGCCTTCTCTATCACTTCGACTGGGAGCAGCCCGGTGGCGCCGGCTCTGGAGACCTTGACATGACAGAGGCCTTTGGTATAACGTTGAGAAGGAAGTCCAAGCTCATGCTCAAGGCCATACCTCGTGTTAATTAGTTCATTCATGTCAAAACTAAGTAGTTGTTCTGTGCTATGATGCATGGATAAAAATAAATGCATTTTTTTTTCACTTGCGCTTCTAGCCGATGGATCAAAGTCACTGTCTAGTCGAGTGCAATTGTAGTTTCCACCAATTTGGAACCACCACATGTGTATCGTTTGATATTTCAGTTTCGATGTAATCCATTTTGCTGCAAATGTTCGCCACCTATTTAGTTCGGTTACAAAAACCAGCCTACAGAGTGCATTCTTAACACCAATTCGACATGTTTCGATCTATTTGGACCACAAATGTAGTTTTTTGTCAAAATCATTATATGATTCTAATAAGACTATAAGGGCCGATGGAAGTGTAAACACGTTGAATTGCAATACAGCCAGTGGTGTGGGTCGTTGATGTGTCTTTGTTGGGTGGACTGTGTTGATGTCTCAATCTAATCGGTTGGTATAGTCTTTGTAGCTTTTAGTTCTTAGCTCTATTGTTGTTTTGGTTGTTGTAGTTACTTTTACCCCTGGAGAGGAGATCTCGTCGCTCTATTATATATATTTCTATTGTTTAATCTAATGTGGTTTCATCTTTTTTTTTAAATGTAATCGTCACCTGTCCTGCATAATCTGTATTAAAAAAAACTTGACTCGACTAGCTTGGCCTATTGTGGCTCTACATCGGCGAAAATAAGCAAAATCAGTTGAGTGTCGTATAGTTGAGGTGGTTTTGTAACAAAACAACCTAGGAGGTCTCTAACTCTAAGTGTCACAAGAGGTGGTTTTTGTAATTTTTTCTATTTTTTTAAACCTTTAAAAATATTTTTTAATCTTTAAAAGTTTATAACTGATTTATTTTAAACCAGGAAACTATGAAACCAATAAAAACTTGTTCCTAAAAATGTATCTATCTATTGGTGATCAACATAAAGTAGAGTGCAAAAATGATAGTTTAAATACATAACATGGGTGAGTGCAACTAATGAAACACTAGGAACATGGACAAAATAAGATCAAAATAACTTCAAATAAAACACCAAGAGATAGATAACCTTTTTCTTTTTAAAAAAAATGGTACTAGTTCTGTATAAATTTATTTAAAATAAATTACTTATGATATTTTAGAGAACCACCTTGAAACCGGTCGTGAGTACCAAATTTGTTTGGTTTTCGATAGTCGGAGGGTGAACAGACATACAAGTTAAGAAGAGGTTGGAAAATATACTTTCATGTTCGGCTGATGGTCAGCGTCGTCCTTGCACGCAACAGACATGATGCAACAGCGCTGCACGTACGCACTAGTGGGCACTAGCCAACAAATTTATTTAAAATAGACACTATGTGTTAGACCTGTTCACTGGTCTGAAACTTGGCTAAAACTGGCTGGAAAATATGGTTTCGGCTGAATTATTATGAGAGAAAAACTACTATTTCGATTAAAAAAAAAAGTCGAATATGAAGTAAGCCGAACGGGCCAAAACAGTGAGAAGGACGAGGCATCAGCATTTCTGGTTAATACCTTGGCAAGAGTGTCTACTGGCTTCTATAAAAAAAAAAAGAGTGTTCTACAGTCAACTGTTCACGACTTGACGTGCCGATCGACGTCCGCCCCTGCTCGCGCTACATACATGCTGCAGCCTGCTGGGCGGGCAACAGTCCACATTCAGCAACCGTCTGTGTCATCTTCGTGGTCTCGTGGATTATTGGAACGAGATGGGCTTCTAATCCATGCAGGCCTGGTATATACGGTAACAGGCCTAGGGCCGAATTAGAGTCCATTTTACATACTTGAACTTGAATCATCGCTAGAGTTAAGGTTTTCTTCTTTTCAAATTCTAACAACTTGCCTCCATCGACACATAAAATCACTCCTCTTGTAAGCACACTCTGAAAAAAAATCATTTATATTAGCTACCTAGCTTCCCGCCCAGGTTACACAGGTGGTTTTCATGACGATTTCATCCTCTTTAGTTCAATATAACAATTTCATTAAATACCCGATAAGTTTTTACAAAAAAACATATATATTTTCACTTTTTGGAAAGTTACAAAATCATACTCATAAGTCATGACTTTTGTGCATACCATTTTACTGTAGAAAACCTATCACCGCAATTTCTTATCATAACTTTTAATATAGTTTTCTTATGTAATTTGATAAACAATTTTTATGAAAACTTTTCTAAATTACCTTTGCATCCCATTTGTTCATAATTGTCAACGGGCAAACACAATTTCTCAACATAAATTTTTTAATAAACTTTTATATAATAAAATTTACAAATAACGTAATTTATGCATGTAAAAAAATATAGATAACTTATCCAACATATTTTTTATGTAATTTGTTCCGAACAATGTTCTCGATTATATAGAATAAAAATTGGATATGTTAATTGTCGGGTTCATAAACCCGGGGTCCCTCGCGGACCGGCTTCCCAACAAAAACTCGGCCCAAGCAGACAAACGCGCAATTCATGGGTCGGCCCAAGTACCTAAACGACATGCCAGAGAGGCGATCCAATCTCCGACCGAAAGGCCTGGCCGAGGAGGAATGGCACCCGCTTTCGACTCTAGCCCGCCTTTCTGACCGGAGCGCTTCACTTCGGTCTCCGGCCCGCCTCCAGACGGCCTCTCCAACCGAAAGGCCTGGCCAAACACCGCTTCCGACTCCAACCCGTCTTCGACCGGGGATGCGCCAAACCCCTGCTCACTATTCTTCTCCGACTGGCGCGATCAGAGCCGACTGGGACCAACCGATCGGGGACACCCGCTCGGTAAAGACCAGGAAACGAACGGAGAAAGTAAGGTAGGATGCACAAGTCAAACCGCAATACCAGGGACCATACCCTGTACACCTGTAAAAACAGTACTCTATGACCTCCCTGGCACGACAAGAACTCCAAGCAGTGTTGTAGGTGCCGATATTTTCCCCTACAGTATTGTGGGTGTCATTAACTCCCATACGGTAAGGCTCCCCACATGCCTCTGGCATCGACAGTGTTGTGGGCGCCGGCATTTACCGTACCAGGCGAACATGGTAAAACCCCTTGCATGCCTCCAGGTATCAACAGTGTGGAAGGCGCCGACGTCTGCCATACCCGAAGAAGACAACACAACCTCCCACATGCATCTGACATTCAACAGTATTGTGAGCGCCTACCATCATCATATACCCGCCGGCGTGGGCAACAAGGCTTAGTAGCATACGTACTTTCCCTCTCACTTGTAAGGCCATCTCCTTCATCTATAAAAGGGAATACGCTCTCTTTCAACAGATAGATTCATTCGATCGATCAAGTCACTAGATCACAACAATAGAACCGCCAGGTTCAAACCACAGGCACATGCTCGAACACTTAGCTCATAGCGGGGCTTCCGTCACTCTCGGCCCTTCCGACCGGAGTCCAACTGGACCTCTTATACCCCCTATCTTTCTCCTTCTCGTTTGTAACCCTACTGCAAACTTCAAGCACCTAGGCTCAGAAATAAACTCACCGACCGACTCAAACTGGACGTATGGCATGTTGCCTGAACCAGTATAAACCCTGTGTTATTGAGTGCTAGGACACCTCCGATCACAACGTACGACAAAACTACAAATATTTACGTGTTGGTCACTTTCTGCACCGACAGTTGGCGCCGTCCGTGGGGAAGACGTTGTACGTTCAACACTTTTGGTCATCAGATGGCCCACTTTTCTGCCACCTTCACCATGGCGAGCTCAAGCGATACGACTCGCTTCGGCTCACTGGAGTTTCCTGCACTCCCACCTATTGGGATGTGGGTTCCACCCATCTCCGAGCCGTCCCAGGCCTTCCTCTTTAGAAGCCTAGACTTCGTCGCCGACTGGCTCGGCGTACTACACCTCCGCGAGGAGGCACTCGTTTCGGCGCCCATCGGAGGGGCACCCTCCATCGGCTCCAGGACGCACGACGACTTCAACGACGAGGCGCCTGCGCTTCATTTCGAGCAAACTCTCTGCTCAAACCCCGTTGTGAGTAATGTACATATTGTTATTTACTTGCTATTCTCTATCTTCCGCTGATTATCCAGAGGGACCCCATTGTCCCCGTCGCGACCGCCATGCGACCGGTTCCCCTACGGCCTCGTGTCCCCCATGGATGCGTACGCCCGGGGACTCCGAAGGGTGCCGGCGCCGCCCCCTCTCACGTCTAAATTCATGGGGATGGCGAGCTATGCTCCCACCTGTTTCCTCGACCTCATGGATGACGATGTTGAGAGTGATGGCTCCAGCATCGGCGACATGGCACCTAGCCACCGTCCATCCTGGGAGTGCGCTATGGCGGACGCTCTGGGACAGCCACCGGTGGTAACGGAGTCCTTGCAGACTCACACCTCTCCGGACCCTCGTGTGGAGACCCCCGCGCTCACACGGGAGCACGGCGAGGAGCTACGACAACAGCGGCTGAACCAGCCACCGACTACGCCAGCGCGCTCGGCGCACCACACTACGCCCCGTGTTCATAAACCGACGAGCGGCGCCCGGGGTCGCACCCGTCGGGTCCAGCGCAACACCATAGATAGGGGGAACGATCCTCCACAGTTCGCTCGGGCCAATAAGAACATCGCCGCTGCGGCAATGCTTCTACGCGGTCTTCCCGAGCCGAACGACCCCCAGGAACCGGTGATCCACCAGAACCTTCGGGCACTAGTGGAGACGCCGCCGTTCAACAAGCGGAGAGCTCCGCATCGTGACACCGACTCATGGCCTCTCTCCCCACTAGGGGAGTGGGGATGCACCAGATGAATCGCTCCACCCGTTCACCGCTACAGCCGCCAAGCGCGGCATAGGAGGCCACATCTGCGCCTCATCTTGACTTGGCGACCGCTCTGCACCGACCGCCAATACATGAGCGGCTTAGGCCAAACCGAGACGCTCGCAGCAGCAACTGGAGTCCCAGCCTAGATGGCCCGGGACCACAGGCCTTTGTCCGACGCATCCAGAGAGTGCCGCTCCCGCAGCGCTCCAACAGAGGCCGAGGCAAAGG